GAAACACGTCTGTACGGTAATGACAAAACACATCTTTGCTAATTTAAATGACAGTGCAGTCTAGCAGCTTGTTTTTTATCATTTTTTAAATTATTCTATCGGACATTGCCCTGCAGTCCAACCAGCTCAGTTGGGCTTCAATATCTATATCAGAATATGACAAATGTCATAGTAGTATAATAGAAACCAATTATCAATAATTGCACGTAAATGTATAATTCAACCATTTACAGAACTGAACTCTGCCCTATCTGTTTGAATAATCAAGGTGAAACACGTATATTTTATAATAAAAATCCAATTGCACAATATTGGAGAAATCTCCCATTGTACAGCTGCCAATACAGAAAGTGGTTTGTTTAAAATTTCCCATTACATTGACGTGTATGCATTTTTGATTTATCGATAAAACTAATTTAATGTTCCGATCCGCTTGATGATTCATCCAAGCCATTAGATTGCACTTAGATAAAATGAAAGACGACAGTTCCCAGATCATCCCAAGTGATTTTCCCACGCTACTTAAAGTTTTCCACCTTCTGTCAACTACCACAGGCATCATTACATGTATAGTATAAGCTCACACAAAAATATTACCTCTCATTATTTGGAATTAAGATCTCATGTTCATTCGGTTTATCAATCACATTGCCGCCCGCAGATGAGAGTTTCTGTTGGTAATTGTATCAGTTTTCAACACATTTTAGTTTGCATTGTTTCCTATAGGAATTGAAATGGTGTGAAGCTTGGTTATAATAATGGACTTGAAGATCATTACCATGTTTTTGTATCACAAGTGCTTCTAATGCAGTGGCTAAAAGTGAATCCCTCTAATTTGGTTTGCATAAATTAATTGAATTACACTTGTGTCATTGAATACAGAAAATACATGTCAGTGCTGCATGTATATTTGCTCTGTTATTTTACTATTGTTAATTTGGAATTAAATTGATGTAATGTTTCAAAGTTGTTAAAAACAAATTTGCAGGTTAGCTTGTGAGCTGTGACAATTATCACTTTTTTTTAAGATTCTGTGTCCCGTGTTGAAATCAAACATAAAAACAAAAAAAAACAAATTACATATACATTTGTATGATGAAGTAAAGGTTTCTCAATGCCATGTTTTTCTCTGAAAGGGCAATATTTTGACATTGGAAATCAAATCATTTGATTTTAGTGCAGTGTTCTCACCCCCAAAAATGAAATATTGTTTCTCCAGAATTAAACAGTTGGGAACCCCTACTCTATAATTTGCTGTCCAGAGGAAAAAACTCTTTAGTCGCATATGTTAAATCCACACTTTTGATGCATTATGCAAGATATTGCAGTGAATGGAAAATCCATATAAACAGTTGGCTCAGGCATTGATAGGAAAAACTATGGTAACCATATATGTACTTATTAGACAGGATAGTGTCTCATCAAAGATTTGAAAAAAAGAGGGGGAATTTGCACACACTAAGAAATATTAGGGTCAATCCCCAGAAATTGGTATGTATAATGCAATCATGTCCTGGATGAAACACTGCAGATTTAATATAAGTGTAAACATGTGCACTTCTAATAAATCAAATACAGTACCGCAATGCATCTATTTCTAAACTCAAAATATATATATTTTGACTAATGCATAATGTACTCGGTAGAGCTTATGAAATTAAGTTTGCTTTCTTAATTCAATTTATCTTAATGAAGGTTATAGTATAAATATAGTTAATATGTCCTGTGAATGAGAGAAATAATGTTTATATATAAATTCTAATGAGCTGGACGCAGTTAATAGAATAAGTCACCCTAATAACTAGGGGTTATTTTTATAACTTGACATTGCAAATGTACAATGAGCATGTATTTTATAGGCATACTGCATCACTGATCACTGTGCTATTTGG